TCGTTGAACCGTTTGGGTGAGTAGCGGTTTACACTGGACCATCAAATAAGCGGAAAATGGATATTTGTGCTTGAGAAGAAAGTAGATTACTTGGAAAATTTAGAGCTTGCGTCGTGTTTTGGCATGCCTTAAAGGCCACAGGTTGCCCGCTATTGTGTTGCTTCACATGAAGTATCCTCATCCTTAATTCAACTGCTGAAATATCATCGCAGGCGCTGTCTTTTTTTTCAGTCCACTTCACTTCGAAGTATTGTTAAAACGTGCATCGTTGTTATTTAGTTTACCGGCGAACAAGCGGCGTACAAAACTGCGGATAAAAGCCCTAAGAAGGTTGTGGGAATTTTGCCAAGGGATTACGTCATCCGTGGTAGGAGACTGGAGATTAGTCGTCGGAAAATTGGGCAGATTTTCCCGCCATGAATTACGAGGTAATCACCAGATAAGCGAGAGTGCGAAAATAGCGCGAAAATGAAGGGAATGATTTTTTATACATTTCTTGATTCTTTTAGATTGGGATGAAGTAATTCGCAGTCATTCTTCAAGCGAGTGCACGGATCGTTGCGACGCGTGTTCCTCGTCGCGTTCTCACGCAAGATTTCAAAGTGTTTCCGTCGTTTCGTTGCACAACGAACTGTGTTTGCGAATACACCTCGCGAAAGGTAAGTTTAACCATCATGTTAGGATTGGTATGCAACATCACGTCCCTTTTGGTTATCGTCTTTGCAAGTTGCAACCAAGCCTCACTTTCGTGCAAGGAGAATATATCACATTAAAGCGAGGCTCGACATATGGGAGAAACCCTATAAGTGCTATTAACACACAGTCGGACAGTCATATTCATTGAACATGTCTCATTTATTCCTAGTAACTACGGCTTTCAACAACTATCGTGACCCAGACACAACGATTGTCGAATCGGTAACTAGGCAACGTATATCAAGTTCATTCATTGTTATCAACATCGAAAACTCCCAGTCCACGAGACTCGCACAGCATGACGGTATCCATGACGTCGACGATCGCGGGGGTCTGGTAGACAACGAACTCATGCTGACCGAACCACCTACGGAAGACGACGACGAGATCCCGATGATGCCTTTATTTAGTATGTACCGTATTTATGTATCATTGTATTACGAGTGACAGCGATTTCACGACAAAGTTATACCACATTCAATCTCATTGAATTAAACTTGTAGCGAGCACTTTCGTTGAAAATATGAAAGTTTTCGAACGATGAGTTAAATGGATTTTTTTCGGATTTTAGGTAACATTTTTCCACCGTCAAGAATTTCACATTTACATCAAGATCTTCGGAGCTCCTCGCCACACGAGCGACCATCTTCGGCGCCAATGTTGACAGATACCGTGACGTCATCCTTCGTTCCTATTGGTATACAGTCACCACATCCCAGCCAATCAGCGTGCAGCGATGAACAAAGCGAGCAGGAGAAGAATTTCGGATTCCCGCTAGCCCACGGTCGTGTTTACACAACAGCACCGCTCGGGCCGGCGTTCAAACAGTTTTCACGCGACGAACATTTGGATGGGAGTTCTCCCGTTGTTCTCAAGGTAAGCTGTGGCAAATTCCTGCTTTTCAACAAGTAATTTAAGCTGTAGTTAGAATTATAATCTTGACACGAACGTTATCATACTCTAGAACTAGAAAAAGCATTCTTCCAAGAACTAGTGGGGTATTTTACATGAACTACTTTTTCATCGTTTAGGCGGCGTTGTTACTGCATCGTGTCGATGAAGCTGGTCGTCAAGGAAACCATGTTTTGAGTTCAAATACACACACCAATGTTCTAAGGTAGGCTTTCTAGTAATGGTTAAGCACGAAGGGATTAAGCACAAAGAAATTGTTGCAAGGCAGTAAGTTGTAGCCGGGCTAGTAATCGTAACTGAAATTAAGGAAGGTTGAAAGTGAAACACTGAATAAACGTTTCAAGTAGTACCCACTAGACTAGGCTGGTATTAGTAGCAACAGCTAGAACTCAGTCAGACTTGCAGTACTGCAATGATCAACTGACATTGAGGAAAGTTGAAAGAGAAACACTGAATATAATATTGTAAAGCAGTACCTACTAGACTAGTCAGGCTAGTATTAGTGGCAACAGTCAGCACTCAGTCAGACTAGCAGTACTGCAATGATCAACTGACATTGAGGAAAGTTGAAAGAGAAACACTGAATATAATATTGTAAAGCAGTACCTATTAGACTAGTCAGGCTAGTATTAGTAGCAACAGTCAACACTCAGTCAGTACTGCAATGATCAGTGCACATTGAGGAAGGTTGAAAGTAAAACACTGAATATAATATTGTAAAGCAGTACCTACTAGACTAGTCAGCCTAGTACTAGTAACAACAGTCAGCACTCAGTCAGACTAACAGTACTGCAATGATCAGTGCAATAGTTGAAAGTGAAACACTAAATAAAACATGCAATGACATTGAGGAAGGTTGAAAGTGAAACACTAAATAAAACATTGCAATACTGCAATAACCAGTTATCGTCAAAAGAGGATTTTTAATTGACCATAATCCAATCAGATTAGTCAACTGTTGGTGAAATGTTTAAAGAATTCACTGACCTATACGAAATTCTGCAAAAAGAAGCGAAATTTAGAGATGTTTTACGCTTGCAAAAGCAAACCACATCGCTAAGTTTTAATGTTCACCATTTCCAGATATATCTTGGAGCAATACGACGCTCTCTCGTGGCTAACTGTGGACTCTGTGTCTGAAGACAGAAATTCCTGCCTTCCCGTACATTATATAACCCTGTCCCAAATGACAGAAGCTTTCAACGGCCTGCTTTCCTGAGCCCAATGCAATCTTCATCACCAGAAATAAATTAAGCTCATCAATATTAACTTATTGTCTTCGCACTACAAGTAATCATCATCTAGAGGTTTGCAAAATACCACGAGGCTGGGAAAACTGTTTTTTAAATCAACCGAATCATTTGCTTTTAAACTGGGCCAACAAGGTTTTCAACACAACAAATTTGTTTTTAACACAAGTAGGACTTCGTCTGGGCAAAACAAACGTGGTTTTGTACATGACAGTATGGTTTGAAAGAGTCTGTGCTCAAACACGATCAACTTTTAATGAAAATTTTGAAATCAAATTTGCAAGCTGCAAAACACGCATGAAAACTTTTATTAGGAAGTTATTTTTTTTACATCTGGTGTGCACTTTGGAGATTCACTTGAGTCCATGCGAACTTACAAAGACTAAAAGAGAATTATCTCCTTGCCAAAAACCACACAATTCGCAACTCTGTAGATTAGTAAGATCCCTTGTCTACTTGATTGTTCTCGTTTGCGAAAACCGCTGATAAAAAACAGCATATTGTAGGCACCTATAATAGAATAGAATATATAGTCTCTATGATTGCATTACCCCTAAATACAAAATACCCCCTTATTTGTTGTGCTGTGCTAATTAAAACTTGCATGATTAGATTACTCACAATATGCACGAACTTTTGTTTAACTTCTCAAGGAAGGTCTAAGTTGTACTACATATATTTTCAAGTCCAGGCAGTGGGATTTTAACAGAGTTGCGAAATTAGATATATGAACGACCAACTAAAGGAAGATTGTTTTTTTTTCTAAAAGTCCGACATCAATTTGGAGCATGTTAAAAAAAAATCACGAGAAAAAGAACAAAAATATCGTAAAATCACACATAAATAAACTATTAAACTCACTAAACGCATAGTAAGCTATTTTATGAAATGTTTATAATATTTTAATTATTACAATTATTATTAATATAGATTATTCATTGTTATTCAGTGTAGTACATAGTCATAGAAATAGAGAGAACCTGTATAAGTATTTACTAAACGGTTCGTCATGGCAGACGGATTTTATCTATAAGCTGCTCAGAATTATATTATAATGAATTTGTCGCCTAAATTTGGACCAAAAATGTATTTATGGGCAGTGTAAAGTATGTGGGCGCTTTTGAAGTGCCGGAAAAATTTTTAGTAAAATTGAATGTAGAACGTTTTCAAATCTATATTATTATTGTAATGTGACGTTTCAGTATTATGGTAAAATGTATTGGCGTATTATGAAATGTTGGGCACGTGTGCAGCTCGCGTTTTTTGTAGGAGCGCACGTGCCTGGCATGTATATTTATGAACGTATTCAAATATATCCGCAGAGTTACGCTTTGTAGATAGAACAAGTACTGTAGATAAAATGGAAATTAAATTATTCTTTTCAACATAAAGTGAATGTTTGCATAAATTGCGTGCTCGATGATTTCCAGTGATCTCTAGTACAACTGGAACGATAGCTTTATTACCTTTATAATGAAGCCATATTGTTTTTGTTGATAATGAAAGAGCCATGCGGGCAAAATACGACTTCAGAAGAACTGGGAAGACCCAGCAAGGAGACAGAAAGTCAAAACCTTGTTTGTGGCAAATAATATGCAAGAAAAGTATAATTTTTTATTGAAACGTTTCCATTTCCACAACACAAGGTCGTGTAACAACCTTCATCTTCCGAAAGTCAACACTAACTGGGGTAAACATAAACCTACATACCAAGCTTCGAAAGAATTCAACAACTTGAACGATTCCATCAGAAACTCTATCTCTCTGAGTCATTTTAAGTCGTCCCTGAAGTGACATTGACTGACACACTATATATAAATATTGTTAATTGCATGTCTCAATATGTTTTTTGTTTGTCTATGTCCATGTCCACGTCGTTGTCCTTGTCCTTTTTAATGTATGTGTATGTCTATGTCTATGATTATTAGAAAACGTAGAACATTTATTCATATGTTGTTATGTGGTATTTTAAAATTGTATATATGATAGAAGTTACGTTTAAATTATTATATTAGTAATATGATTGTATCATGCAGGACCCCACTGAAAAACACTATAAGGTGATGTGGGTATCCTGGTTAAATATAATAATAATTTGTGTGACTCCTGGGGAGACTGAGTACAACTTTTGCTGACGTGCCAACATGGCTGCCAATCGATAACTGATAATTGTTCCGAAAGCCAAAAGAAAACATCAAAAAACAGCAAACAATCCATCTAAAGGCGACCAGAACTACGATCAGATAAAGGAGCAATGCTTTTGGACCTCCCTCGACGTTATTGCAGGAATTTAACGGCGTTTATTGTGTCAAAACCACCTTGTGTTGTTTTCACAATATGCCTGTGCTGTTTGGCTATAGCACTGTTCTGGCTGGGTTATTACGTTAACAATAACGATGTCGTTGATCCTGAAGCTGAGAAGGTAGTATACGATTGTAGCATGTGCAAAATTGAGCTATGGTTATTTACAGATAGTCAGACATACTATAAAAGGTGTACATAGGTGAGGTCATCCGTCATTGATGAGTTTTTCTTTGTTCAACTAGGATTGGAATGATTTCTTAACAAGTCTTAGTAATGTTCAGTTTTGCATTGACAAAGTCAATAGCAAAGTCAATCAACACAGACCGAAGTCTATTAATGGTACAAAGAAAAGAGGCCAGAACTCAAAATATGAATCCCCAACTTCAACATATGGTCTACAGCTGATTTCAATTCCGTTGAAAATTGGTGTCCATGTCCGAAATAAGGATCACTTTCTTCATGGAAACATCACCCATCTGACGGCACTGATGGACGCACCTACTGTTGGATCTGGTAAGGATAACCTATAGTGGTAATTAGGTAATAGACCAATCACCTTAAGTCCTACTTTGTATTTGCAAAACTATTTTACTTATCAATATGAAAACTGCAATTCATGTATTTTTTGATCATCTAAGAAAAAATATATAACTGATTTGAAGCAGTTTCACCTAGCAGCAATATGCTACTGGTTGTGAATGAAATAATGTTTTGATCCCCAATTTTTTTCAGGTCTTTTCAGGAGAAAAATGAATTTGACATTTTCGCTGTCAAAAGTCTGGGACACAGAAGGTATATGAACTGTGCAATGTATCACACCGGATGTTTCAAAGTTGTGATGCAAATGTTTTGCTTTCCAGAGAGAAAGTGTAACAAGAAGAATAATTTATGTAAACTTCCACAAGGGTACTTTCACAGTTGCGTCACAATTCTTGCACCTCGAGAAGCACTTCCTGAATGGTATGATGAATAAAATATTTCTAATGATATTATTAATGATGAGTTTTGTTAATTTTACATTGCTGTATATTATAATATCCGTTACCAGGTAAGCAGTTTAGAATTACAAGTATATGCATTGTTAACACTTCTGGTGACACTAAACAATAAAATTGTAACCTATGTTTGATGATGCTTTCAAGTTAGTCTATATCTGTGAGTTACGTTTTGTATTGGTGAAGTGTATTTCTAAAGTTTTCTTTTTATTAGGAAGCCAGAGACTTGTAACTCAACTTCATTTAGTTCATTGACAAATATGAAAGCTCTGACAAAGAAAAGTCAACATTCAAAATGTGAATCGGGTGCAGTTATCTACTTTAAACATCCGGTCGACCTTGAAGTTCGTGAGAAGCTTTCAGTGGTAGGAAATATAGTTTTTACTTCGAGATTTAAACCATAAAAGCGATGACCCATAATACATGAACTAATATAAATAATTGTATTAAAAATGAAGGTATATTGAGGCCAAAATTCCTATAGTATTAATGTACAAATATAATTCTGTGTAGGATGAACGGGCCAAGGCAAACCTTCATTTGCAAGTGACAAGTTATTTCCTATTTATTCTTGTGATTTCATCCATCATTTATGGTATGCTTAAAGGAAAACCTCTGAAATCCAAAAAGGTGGGTGATACAATTTTTTTCTCCGGTTTTCTCCACATGAAAACACTCTTACATACTAAGTAATCTCCATGGATTTTTATGATGATGCTAGAAAAAAATTCATGATTCATAAATTTATACAAGTATCTATTGTGTGAGAACAAATGCTCAAAAATCATGTCTTTTTCACAGGTAACCTTTGAGTCCAACGGTTTGTAACAAGATAATATTGTTAAACAAATATTCACATGTTGTTACTAGTGCAAACTAGTTTTTGGATCAGTTTGTTTTGATCGATAAATGCCGTTGAATTGGAGGCAGGATCAAGTTATAAAAGCTGTTGTAAACGGCCCCAGCAAGTGACAAATAAGAATTAATTGTAATTTATTCCTTGCATTTACAATATTTTATTTATTAGTGCTTGTTTTCAATGCTTATATAATTCACACATTAAATTTGTATTTATTTCCTAAATTACAACCCTCTGGCTTGTTAAATAGGTGTAGATGGTAATAAATTATTGACGAATAGCCGTAGATGAGACAATTTTTTAATAAAACCTAAAAGTTGAAGGTAAAAAGTGATTTTTGATTTTGTGCTTTTCTGTTTCATGCTCATTTGTAGCATCAAATGCATTCAATATTACCCTTGTGCAAATGTTATTGCTGAATTATTTCCAACTATGGTTCAATTAGAAAGTCTGGTGAAATTTGTGATTCTGTTTGGTAACCGAAAAGTTGAAAGTGAAAAGTAATTTTTGATTTTGTGTTTTTCTGTTTCATGTTCATTTGTAGCATCAAATGCATTAGATATTATCCCTGTGCAAATGTCATTGCTGAATGATTTCTAACTATGGATTCAATTTGAAAGTCTGGTGAAATTTGTGATTCCATTTGGTAACGAGGCAGAAACGTTGCTAACGACATGACCTGTCTTCTCCAAGGTTTCCACACGCAAGGAAACAGGAATCCACTCTTCCTTGTGCTTTTCAAATTTAACATCCATAACCCCCATCTTCTTAGGACCCTCAATGTAGCACCCTGCCTCCCATGTCGATTCATTCAATGTTTCCTTAGAACTTTCCCTTTCATCCTTTTCTTCCTCTTTTCCATCCACTCTTCTCAAATCCTGGGCATCGCTCATAAATCTATAATTGTAGCCACAAACGTACAAGGGTTGGCCAAAAATTTCTTTAATCTCTTCTTCCTTGCTTAACTTTTCCCAAACAGAATCAAGTGCACTTTCCTTCTTCAAGATCTCAGCTTCGTGTTTTTCTTTATAAAAATGCTCAGCTAGCTTTTTCTGAAGCGTGTTTGCTGCAGCAGTCTTGTCATTCTCCAACACGTCAACTGTAACTTTATCCAGGGCGAAATAGGCTGCAAAGATAATCAGCCAAACGAAACCACCTGTTGCCACGAAGACCCCACGAACTACTGTCCATAAACGCTTCCTCCACGATTTAAGATTGGAAGGAGAACTAACAGACCCTCTCTGGTAGTATCTTAGCCTCAAAACCACCGGAATCGATTTGGAATGAGCTAAAAGGTCAACATTTTGGCACAAAACGTTTGCATTTTTGCTAACCGACCGATTTGTATCCAATGTACTTTGTACAAATCGCATCAAGATTCCGCTAAATGACCGGTTGCCTCTTGAAAAAAGCACGTCCTTTCCTCCTTTTATCATAAATGTCAATGGTCTCGAAAAATAGACACCGTTAAACATGTTTTAAAATGTTTTTATAAACGAAAACATTGAAAAATGTTTGGAATATAAAATGAAATTTCGAAATGGCGTTGTTTATAAAAATTGTGATATTTTCGTCCTGTGGGTGGGGAGGGTAAACGGAAGATTTCGTACCTGGACTACAGATATCCATTTTCAAAAAAGAAATTGCTTCTAAAATCATATTTTTTCATATACGAGATTTTTCAGATCAAAGCCTACACATTAAACAAAACAAGATAATATTAAAAAATTGACTGTGACCGCCAAATGTTCGCCAAATTCATAAACATTTGCAATTCCGCATTTTCTTTTCAAATTTCAATAAGAAGGTATTTTAGGGAATTTATTTTCGGCCACTATAGAATTTGCTTTTATTCGAGACTATATTCACGTGAGTTTTATATTAGCATACTATATCACCAAATTTGCCTAAAATGTCTAACCATCCCATAACTCCCATAAACCTGTGCGAATGAATCACCGCTGTCTGCACTACAAATTTGTACCCACTGACCTATATTAGATCCGGATCTATATTAGACCTCTAGTATAGGTCAGTGTTTGCGCCCAGCTCCTGCAGTTTCAAAGTAGCGAATAGTACCATTACATCACAGTTTTATTTACAATATTATGCATTCCTTCTTGCATTTGCCATCTCCCTTATCGTGTATAGATTCCTTCGCTTCATTTTCGTCTTTGCTGTTTTTCAACTCTTCTTTCGTTTTATTCGGTCGTCCAGTTTTCCTGTCCCCAACAGTCAGAGCGCCGGCCGCCACAGCCGCCGTGAACGGATTCATAACTGATAAGAAATTAAGTTCCAAGCCGTCATCCAATAGTTACTCTACTATCTTGATTGGAAAGGGAATAAGGATTATAAAAACTAAAGATTATATATGGTAAATTATTGTTATTGCTCTGGGAAACATGCGTTCAAAGACACAGTCTAGGAAGTGAAAACTATTGGCTGATCCAATACGTTTTCCTTTGCAAAGAAAAAATATACCACGTCAACACAAGAACCCACGGAATATGTTAAAAAGCTAACGTCAAATTCAGTTGAAAATTTCTTTACCTTTGAAGTGAATAATATCTCAGCAATTGAGCGCCAAACCTTCCTCAGTTTCAATTTAATTCAAAAGTTTATATTTATATCATTCACGTTACTTTAACCGGCAAGAGAAAAGCTTATCACCGCGTACTCATGATTAGACACTACGGCAGGTTTTTAGGATTTTTTAATTATCCTACTTGTGATTGGCCAGTGGTTACACTTAGCCACAGGTCCTGTCAAGTGATGCTTTCACGTCAGTTCTATAACTGAACGAAATGAAACTGTTCTTCCTGGAGAGAACCTACACTAAACTAACTTTCTTGTAGTCAGTTTAAAAGTCAAGGATCATCTCTTATTGATACAGTCTATCTCAACCATTCAAAGCTGTTCTTTCTGTAGAGGTCCAGCAAGTATTATCTCTTATTGATCCAGTATTGATCCAGTATTGCTACAGGAAGAAACCTAGACTAAACTACCTTTATTTATACTGGATAGCTCCATCAGTTCTAAACTGTTCTTCCTAGAGGTCCAGCAAGGATTATCTCTTATTGATCCAGTATTACTACAGGAGGAAACCTAAACTAAACTAACTTTATTTATACTGGATAGTTCTATCAGTTCTAAACTATTCTTCCTAGAGGTCCAGTAAGGGTCATCTTTTCTTGACCCAGTGTTATTACAGGAGGAAACCTGAACTAAACTAACTTTATTTTATACTGGATAGCTCTATCAGTTCTAAACTGTTCTTCCTAGAGGTCAAGTAAGGATCATCTCTTATTGATTCAGTGTTACTACAGGAGGAAACCTAAACTCAACGAACTTTAGCGGTTTAGCCTTATTTATCGGAGACTAGTCCAGCGGTATATGTTGCTTGTGAGATCAGTGATGCTCCATCCCAGTCTTCTCATTGTATTCAACCGAGCGAAGATGATCACAAAAACAAAAAAAAGTTGTGATAATTTACGAAAAGTATGAGACGAAAATTTTTTATAGAGAACGCTTTTATTTTGCCATATTAGAATGCTTCTTTGCCTCCGATCTGTACATCCACGCCAAGCGAAGAGCTTGAGTAATGTCTGTGTTATTTAAGAGCCAATTTGACTACGAACTCGAGGAAAAAAGCCGCGAACAACACGTGCAGCGAAGGGTTGGTCAAAAAGACAAGAGAGGCCAGAGGGCCATTAAAGATCAGGACTTGTTGGTCTTTGGGTATTCTTGTAACGTCTATTGTGATGATATTAAGGCGGTGTATTTCGATGAGGGAAGGCATTTGATACCATGGATGGGAGATGAATCGCTTATGATCGATAGGTACAAACTAATTGTCTGATTGAATACCATCAGTTGTGGTGTAATTAAAATAGTTAATGTTGGTAGTGTACTTTATACTACAAACAAGCGTACTCTTGTTTGTTTAAGAATCAATAAAAAATAAGTGGATTTGTCAAATCCAATGCTGTCTTTAGCTGTTGAAAGAGAAGCTTTAAAAAAAATGACTACTGTAGATCAAATTCCACACCAGATGGCAGATCTTATTATGCAATCATGGTGATTAAACACAAGATTTTATAATTACGTATTTTCAATTGATGGTGTGTGTGAAATACCAACTATTTTACTTATTGAAAAGAATTTTCTAACTTCCCTGACAAAGACATTCCCTTGCAACATAAAGATTTTGTTTTGTGTCATACATTTCCTTCAAATTTCCATGTAGGAAAATTGCAGTTCATATTTTTGCTTTCCATATAAATACCTGATTTAACAATCGATCACTAGATTTGATGGAAGACTTCTGTTGGAAGATATCTCACCCTTCATATCTAAAGGATCCTCAGATCATGATAGCAACTGGCAGCTGTCTAAAGATGAACAGGCAATCGAGAGACTCTGCGATGAAGAAAGATACCAGGCATTAGAGAATGCTGAAGACTCGGATGATGGAGGCAAGTATCTTCCTTAACCGACAACTTTTCATATTTATGTGGTTCAGCACAATTATAGTTTCGAAATGCCTTGCATTACTTTGTGTGCAAAATTTGACCTGTCTTTCTCCATCTCAGAGGAAGAAATGAAGAGGTTTAAAGCTGCAATTGCCTCCGAGAGTGGATCATACAGTGCTGTTGGAATGACATACAATGAGCAGAATACAGAACCTTATTACCAACAGTATAACTATGATTTACCACAAACATATGGCCAATATTATTCAACATATGCTGAAGAACAAGGAGTAACTGGTAAGATTATGGAAAAATTTAAAACTTTTTAGCACATTTGATAAATGTTTTACATGATACTCTGTTGCATCAGCACAGCATCTTGTCTAAACAACCAACACATTAATGGAGACATTAACATTTAACAGGGTTTTGGGAAAATTATCTGGGAAAATTATGTATTTTGAAATGAATCAACACAAATAAAGTTTGATGTGTAGTTTTTTTCATGCTAATATATTTGCTTTTGACTAAATAGGACCAGTTCCATCGATACAGGAGCAGCCGTCCATAATGTCACTTCAACCACAGCAACAAATGCAGCAACCCCAATTACAACAACAACAATTCACAGAACACAATCCTGTCCAAGAAGTGGTAGAGGTGTTTGTTCCTCCGGCTGCCTTAGATATCCCAGCTGATATGGAAGTGGTGAGTCGACAGATAGACTGTACCATATTGTATATGATGCATTGTTTTGTTTGCCATGTTTTCTCTTTTGAAAAATAAGCAAATAGGTGGGCAAAGTGCAGTTACTGATGCTAGGAATCAAGTGGAGGCAGATTTATACAACAGAGGAACCAAGTTTTGGTATGGTAATACACATTCATATTGCACCTAGCAAGAAAGAAAAACTTCAGTTGGTAATTTAACATGGTTTGCTGAAATATTTTCTATTTCAAATTTGCTGAAATCCTATTTAAAAGTAGACACTTTTAATTGTACATTACTTTTTAACTTTAAAAGGAAAGGTTGTTGACCAGACTTTTTTTTCATCCTAAAAACTTGATAACATTCGATGTTAACTTGATAAAATTCGATATTACAATCGCATCGACTAATTCCAAACAAACATTTTCTCTTTTTAAAGGCTGAGAAGGGCATTTTGTTGAAGAAAACTGAACGAAATTCGTTTTGTAGTTTGTCGTTCAAATACTAACCACTTGTTTGACAGGATTCATTTCTGCCCAGCGCCTTTTAACAGGAAAGAGTTGAAAAAACATCGTGATTCATCATACTTTTTTATCCTCGGGAGTTTTGAAGCGACATTCGTTTTTTGCAGTCAATGTGAATGCATATGTAGTCCGGGAAGATTTAATTGAGCAGTTCTGCTCTTCTTTTTATGTTGTGTAATATAGTAGTGTGTACACTGTTGTTTAATATAAACTGTAGTTTTCACTGAAGTATTCAGAGACAGAGTTTAAAAATCCTTTTTGAGGGACGACGACTTTAGCGACCATGCTCATGAACTGTGGTTTTGTGATATTTTTTATTTGAACTTATTTTGAACGTAACGAGTTTTGGTATTTTATTAAATAAATGCAAAAAAATTACTCTTTTGTTCCCTTAGTTGCATATGAGATAAACGTATAACCCTTTGTCTTGAGAGTATTTTTTGTGTATGACAATTTTAAACAGTTTTCTGACCGTGTAGTATAGAGGTTTAGTAAGTCTTTTGCAGAGCGAAATCGTAGTTGGATTGGCAAGTATCAACCTAAATACTGATTAATTGTACGTTTAAATGCTTCGTCTTTCAATACCAGTTTCAAACACTTTGTAAACAAATACTTATTATAATCTTGCTTTAGAATCGGAATATAACTTAAGTAGAACTGGCTTTTTCACGTGTGCTTTGAAATTGGCGCCAGAAATCGAAGCATATAAACGTACTTTGAGTTTCTGTTTCTCCCATTTCATGCTCTGCATTCTATTGCGAACCAATTGAACTTAGAAAGTTGTTTGTTTTCCCTATAGCCGGACACGGAGAAGTTGCATGTTATCATCGAGAAAACGGCGTTCTTTATAAAAGATCACGGTCCTCAAATGGAAATTGTTGTAAAGGCAAAGCAATCGGGGAATACACAGTTTGACTTTCTTCAATTTGATCATCGCCTCAATCCTTACTACAAGCTCATCCTGAAGGCCGTGCGTAGCGGAAACTACAAACCCGCGAAGCCTGCCACACCGCCCGCAGAAGAAGGTGATCACTCAGGCTCCGCGCCTAAACCCTATTCAGGCGAAATTCAAATTCTAAAATCTTGTTTCTTTCTCAGAGGAAGAAGAATCTGAAGATTCCGATGGCGAAATGGAACTCCATCCTTTGCTCACCGCATCCTTACGAAAACCCATCACATCGAATAAAAAAACAGACATCCCTCCTTTAGAGCCTCCTCCACTCCCCCCTGGATGGACCGCTGTCAATCCAGGTAGGAACATAGGTCTTCCAATAGGCCCGTTTACACTTGCGATTTTATGTGCGATTTTCTTCTTTTGATAGATGTGAACGAGTAATAAGTTACCGGTGCTTTGATGTACAAGAACTTCTATTTGAACATCCCTGACTAATTCACTCGTTCACATCCATCAAAAGAAGAAAATTGCACATAAAAACGAGCCTTATAGCTAGGAAAAGTGAGAAAAAACGGATTAAACTTGCAATGCCAAATAGATGGACGATAATTATGATAATAAATATAATTATTATAATAAATATAATTATATAGACGCTACACCAGGGGGCAATTCATTTGCCGACAAAGCGGACAACTTCCTCGCAGATATGAACATGCAGGATCAAACCACCAACTACCCTCCAGGTTTCCCTGGTTATCCATATGCGCACCACGGTATCCCTCGATCATCCCCTCCACCACCTGGCGTTGGGTCACTAAACGGTAATGGTAAGTTGTCGATTTAGAGTAGTTTGATGCATCATGGGACATGGTCTTTCCTACACAAGTAAAATATATCTGTTAAAACACTTCATCTCATTAACTGGCAGCGCGCTGAAATGGTACTCAAATATACCAAATTAAAAGTGCATCTGCTTTGAATAACTGAGGCCAAATATCAAATATAGTACGTTTGCATTTCAGCCTCCCAACAGTTCCCTCATGCATCTATGTACTATCAGAATAACCTCAATTATCCTGCAACCTCCCTGCCGTCATACCCTGGTACTGATATGGCCGGGTCACCGATAATCCCACCACCCCCGGATTTAAAACCAATTTGCGACAAACTCGCCGAGTATGTGGCGCGAAACGGCAAACACTTCGAGGAGAATATACGAACGAAGAATGATCCGAGGTGAGATTTAGGAGAAATGAATTTAGTTTAGGTTTCTTTCTGTACTGGACCTGTAGGAAGAACAGTTTAGAACTGATAGAGCTATCCAGTATAAATAAAGTTAGTTTAGTTTGGGTACCTCCTGTAGTAACACTGGATCAATAAGAGATGATCCTTACTGGACCTCAAAGAAGAACAGTTTAGAACTGATAAAGTTATCCAGTATAAATGAAGTTAGTTTAGTTTAGGTTTCCTTCTGTAGTAACGCTGGATTATAATCCAATATTTGTTCCAGATTTGATTTTATCAATGAAACAAGTGACCATTACACGTACTACCAGACGAGAATTCGAGAGTTCGAGCTGAACCCTGTAGAGTCTGGGAACAAGGGTAGCGACAACATAAAGAGCGGGGTACTGGTACCTAGCTCAAAACCGGTGAGCTTTCAGATTAAGAAGACAAAAGACCAAAATAAACCCGTGATGGAATATCGCAGCAATATTCTATACAAAACAGCTAAGGCTGATGAAAGCGAGGAAGAAGGGATAGAAGAGGACAACACGGACAATCAGGGTGATAAGGTATGAATTTTAAAAAATCGTGACAGCTTTGAATCAATGAAAACACAAAGTAATGAAACTCAATTCCAGGGTGCAGCTCCACGTAGCGAACATGAAGTACCCGAGGAAAACTTTCAGGGTCCCAAAACACAGGAAGATGTCATGGCGGAAGAACGAGCAATGAAACTAAAGCAAGAGAAAGAGAAGGAAGGTTTGTCGGTGATTTCATCGAATTTTGTGTCCTTTATAAAGTTTGTAGAATCCCTGACCGACATCTTGTACAACTTTTCCAGTTCAACGACTCGAGGAAGAGGTGAAGTCAACAACCTCGTCGCTTCGACGCCAAGTTCAGCTGGAACGTCGCAGAAGAGCTCAGTTGTTTATCAACATGTTAAAGAAAGCAAAACCTGGCGCCCCAGAACAAAGCTCTGACATCCAACCAGGCGCTGATGTCAGGTAAAAAAAAACCATTTGTGTTTGAAATGAATTTTTGGTGTTCTGAACACTAAGAGATTATCAACTAAAGGTTTGTTTACAAGATCCAATTTTGTCGGATCCAATTCCTTCAGATTGATGCTTTATTATTATTATTATTATATTTAACCAGGATACCCACATCACCTTATAGTGTTTTTCAGTGGGGTCCTGCAGTGGGGTCCTGCAAGTGGGGTCCTTTATAGTCTCATTCTTTCTGATGGATGTTTTCTAGTTTGCTAACTTGCAATGTATACCCACCTATATAGCGATCCTCACGGACCAAGTTGAAACGTATTCTCTCGAAAAAAGAGCCTGATTTATGTGTCTTGGTCCATAAAAGAACATAAATGGAAAGGTTGCCGTTATTTCACGTGCGATTTCAAGCCGATGAAGTCCCATGATGCACGCTGCGTTGTGCTTCAAATGTGTAAAGAGTTGGCCTTCCAAAAACACCGGCTTGTGGCAGGGCAAGGAAGTTGAAGAAAACTCGCAAGTTTCGCGAAAACTAGGTTTTTTAAACCACACCTTTTTGTAAATAGCTATTATGATGATTTCCTCAACGATAAGACTCAGTAAGGCAAGAAGGTAGTAAACCAATTTCTCCCCAAAGAATTCCGCAAAATTCGCAAAGTTCGATTTGATATTCTCTATCACCCTTTTTTGAGCACCCCTCTGTGACCAGGAGTTCACAAACCCCCACCCTGCCCCCGTGTCCCATTTGATGTAAATATCATTGCGTAATAGTTCCACGCTTCCCCCGTGCGAGACCTTGTAGCCAAGGCTGAGCCCCACCCTACCAGTATAACTAAGCAGTCACGTCAGAACGAGGCAAAGATGAGGTGCAGATTTTCGTGGAAGGTCACTTCTGTTTTGACGCATACTAGAGAGTGTTTGAAAACATCAGCAATTATTGAGCTTATTCCCATCCTGTTTCCTAAGTTGATTCCCGTGTGCGCGATTTACGCTACTGTCCTATACTTGAAACTCAATGGCCGCATTCGTGGCGTTCTTTAAAGTGGTTAAGCAGCGTATTAGAATGCAATTTTCCTCGTATCGTTAGACTGTAATCACAGCAAACGCGTTTACAGCTCGCGTCCATTTAATTAAAATACTTTACAAATATTTTAATAATAAATAAAGTGTATTTTAGCTAATTCCAAATAAATAAACCTCTTATAAAATCTGGATATTTTAGCGCTATGCTGCATCATGCATAATTTCATTGCGCTGAAAACATTTAGAAGAGTCGCACAAAATCGCTTTTCCTTGCCGCCATTTTTTTCCCGTTTTTAACTATCTCCACAAAGCAACAAAGGTTTGATCAAAGGGGATATCTTCAACAAAGATTATCTGATGTAACGTGATCGATAATCGAGATTATCGGAAGGCTTTATCCATTAGGCTGTAGCATATTTTTCACAAAACTTTTTGCCATAAGTTTGCAGTAACGGTCAGAGTTCAGACTTTCCATGTTTAGTATTTTTGCAACTATATCCGTCTCCACGTTTCCACCGAACTTGTACTTTTTTATGGCATCGTAAACTGTCCTAAAAGCCTTTTGCTTGTCGTTATGAAACACACCTCTGTTACCATGGAGAACGTACACGCCATTACGCAACACTGACTGACAATTGTTTTGGTACATGCAATGGTCGGGTCTGTAGTTCCATTCACATGGGTAAAGGTACACTCGATCTAAATAGAATAATGTCCTGGGGTTGGGTAAAGTTTGTTGATGTCTGATGATAGGACTGGAGTGAATAGATAAAGTTTTTGAAGTGGATAAGATTCGGTCAAACATAACCTTACCTGGGTGTTTATTAAAGTAGATATTCAACAAGTCCTGATCTCCCCACACTATATTATATTTATGCTCTCTGTATATTTCAATTATATTCTGTGTAAATTTCAAATCTCGAAGTTTCCGTAGGTCCATCAGCATCACGCCAGAATTAAGACCCAGTTTGCCGTAAAATGGATGTCTTGCAAACCTATGATACCAGTTCAACGATGCAAGTTCGCCTTCCCTCGTCATCGCGGCTAGCTGTGTCTTGTTAAACTTGCTGAAATGATGCCAAATTTTTTCTACCGGACTTAAAAGCAACGTATCCGTGTCCAAATATAGAACTTTGTCTCTTTTTATGAAGTCCTGAAACGCAATGAGAGATATTTAATATTGTTTACTTAATTCTGGAATGCCAGGCAGATATATCTAGTATGCTTTGATCTGATTTTGCAACCATTGATCAGAAATATTTTCATTTCGCCGCTGTTAAAGAAGCACAGTTAATAGTTAACAGTAAAGTAAACCTTTATGTTCGCTCGAGAACCGATAGCCGATTCTTGCGTTTTGAACTTTCAAAGGGTTCGAATTGCCTTTGAAAAAGTCCAGATAGAAATTTAGTCCAAACAGGAGCCGGTTGTATAAAACTTTTTAACTACACTTTGCATAGTTAAATCCCAGTTAACGGTGTCAGAAATACAACTGGCCTCAGCAGGCCTTTGAGAAGTGAATGCAGTAAACTTTAACCAAAGCAAAATATATGATTCGCTTGTCTAGTTTAAAAAAATGCGTGCATGGAATTACCATTAGAAACAGTCTCTGCGAAGCACAAGTTTTGAAGAGATTTTTCCAGGTTGCAATATTCTCCCCAGGAGGGTATGATAAATTATACAATGTAAAACCAAAATGTTCCTTCACATTGGAAGGAAACTTGTCAAATGATCTCTTTATTCCCTCCTGCAAATCCCGCTCCGAGACGATGTGGAAGTGTACTTGATGATTGGTAAAAATCAGAACAGACTTCACCATGTTCATTATTTCCTTCGAACGGTCTCCGCAAACCACAGCTGCAACGTCGATGGCAGTTTTCCCCGGAGCGCATGTCGTCGATGAAACCTTGCTATAAAGATATACACCTGTGTTAGAGAGTTGAGACTAGAGATTGGCTCACCCACAATGACGGGGGGAGTCGTAAACTTCTTTCCTTGACTATGCAAGGGGGGTGCATTACATTCACTCCAGTAACTGTGTTTTGTTACCACCTTTTTTATTAAAACACAGCTGTTGTTTCTGATACGACTCAGCAACTCTTTATGAAGTGGATTTGAAATTTCCGCCTTGACCCTAAAAGAGTTTTCTTTCTTCTTTCCTTTAAAAAACAAGCCGGTTTGTACACCTGCAATTTATACCTCGATCTATTTCTTTTGATAAATGTCAAGAAATAAAAAACTATTGCGTTTAAACAATGCATTGTACAGATGAATTAGACTTTATTAAAGAAAGCATCTGTAACTCGTTTGATAGAAGTTAACGTTTTGACAACAGATGCCGACAATTTTGTTGACCTAAATACTTAGTGGGGCGCGTATAGGCGCATTGCCAACAAACTAGTGAATACCGTTGTGTTATAAGACGTCTTTGGTTGGCGAACCTCGTGTCGATTTCTCTTTTGCGAGAGACAATCGCTTTCCCGCTAAGCTTCACCACATTTTACGCAGACATGCAAATAAGTGGTGTATAGCTGCTATGCCTATATGGCTAGGATGTTACAACAGCCAAGTATTTTCTTAAAAGGAGTTTAATTTAATCCTTACTTGACACAAATATCTGAGCTGCTTTGTATATATAAACATAAAATATGCGCTATTAAAGAAATCTTTTCTTGATATTTTATATACGAAGTTTTATTTCCTTAGGTTGATTGATATGGCCATGCAATGCCAAGGTAGTTGGCCGGTTGACTGCACCCAATAATCGCGCTTAACTGAATTACATAAGCAACAAAAAATTGTCAACCAAACAACCTATAAACAATTACTGACTTCAGTGATATATCGCATTTGCAAAACTCTCTGAATATTCCGGGGAGAGAATCATAACAACTCCCAAGAGTAGTTCAATTCTCACAATGAATGAGTTAAGCTCGAAACTCGAAAGCATAATAAGCTAAGATCGCGAAGCCCATTAGTGCTATCACTTAAAATGTATCTAATTTTGCTACGCATCGGCGCGCAAAACCTGAACGACGCTAAACGCCAACGCAGTTTGAGTTGCTTTCTTTGTTAGCTCGGTAGTAAACTGACGGAAACTGGCGGTGAACGTAGACATTATGTGTCAAGAAATCGTGACAAAATAGAGGATGATCCTTCGAAACAAAGCCATAAAATATCTCATATTTCACTCGCAAATGCGACCGCACGAGAGCCCGTTGTTTGAAACTTCGGAATATACAGTAGCGTAATCCTTTTATTGTGAAATCATTCATTTATCAAGGAGATTCGTAATGATGTGAATACAAACTAATAGACGTGAGACAGTAGACGAACTATAAACGATACATGACTTTCTGCTTTGACTGAATTTTCGTTATTATGGCCGCAATGAGAATGAGCCTCGTTCATGTAGTGCGTCACGGCAAAATGAGATGATAAACTTGGCCTAGCTGAATGTTAGGTGAACGTGGGAAGCCAGGCTACCTGTACAAAATATAAACAGAACTTTGACTGTGGTGATGGCGAGGTTCTTAACCCAACAGTTAATTGAAAAGATTTTTCACCAACTATAGTCTTGGACGAACTGACTCTGAAGCGTCAAAGTTCGGTTCACAAATCTTAGGTAGTCGATGAAATTCACACCACGCTATTATGATTACAGTAGATGTGTCAAGTTAGTAAACATCACTGTAAAATTGATTCAATAACCCTACAACTTCCTATACACAGTTGTACCCACTCCGAGGAACATCGTGTTTCACTCCCGTACATGCAATAGGTACACACAAAGTATAGCTCAACCGGTATTCTAAACTTAGCTTTGTAGAATAATTGTATTACTGGCAAAACCGATGACAGACGAACCATATAAACCGGACTAGAGCCGTCTAGCACATGTGTGGTGAATAACTAAACCTTGCGAAGTATATTGTAACATTTATATAATTCGACGATGTAAAGTTCTCAAAACTTGTTACGTTTTAACCAAGATTTGTGTCATTACTTACACAGACTTATCTGTTTCTTTGAGCGATCTAGCCCCATGCGGATTACCAATTGATGTTTGCGTGTCTAGAAGTACACTTTGTTCCCTCCATTTCTTGCCGTCGAAATCCCCGAGGTTGTCTTTTTGAGTGATACTGTACGTTACGAAGAGAAAAATTAACAATATGACAGAGAAGAACACCAGAACGGGCTTGTTAAAACGACAGACCTGCATGTTGTAAAACCATTATCGAAGCCAACAGACGTGAAATGCATTCAGAAAATAGACACGGCGTTTGTTTACATTTGCCTGACTGGTAATTCGAGTACGCCACGCTGTGGACGTGCAGGTACCGTAGCTGATATTGGGCGTGGCTCAATTAAACAACATCCAGGGGCCTATTAGTGTCATTGGCATCAAGCGTTTCATTAAAAGCACATAATTGGCTTTTTTCTGCGGTAAGGCATGGAGTGTCTCACTAAAGCCTGGTTTTGGTGTGTCATAGTTCGCCGTATTTTGGATGTCGTGATTTGATGTGTCTCGCCAATCTCATACCCAGGCATTTTGCTTCCACACACTTCGCATGACGAACAGACCTTTCCCTTTTTTTAGCTTTCAAGCGCGCAATGCGTAACGGTAGTTGATTATCAAGCAACTTTGAGTTGCAATATCGCTCTGTTTAGAAGCGATTTTATTTGTGCGAAAACCCTGCCGATTGTTTTTGCTTCTTCGTTAAACTAAGTCGCTCCTGAACATGGCGAAATCACAACGCAAATTGACCTCGATAATCAACTACCGTCACGCATTGCGCGCGCGCTTGAAAGCTAAAATAGGAAAGGTCTATTCGCCCATGGATATGCGCAAAACGGATAACTAGTCAAACTCGTAACCAGAGTTTTATTACCTACGCTCCGCGGATAACTAGCCTGTGATAAGGTAAACACTCTGACATGATAAAAGGTAGTGGATGTTGAATATATTGGAATATGGTATATTCGACTTCGGCAAGGTCGAATGTACCAGATTATTATGTGGCTTTTCAAGATCCTCTATTCTGATTGGCGACCGGTCCGCAAAACCCATAAACCCAAAACCCATACCATGGTCCGTATATATTCCGTATCTGGACCAGTATCCCCGAAATCTCATGCAGTTCAGGCTCAGCCATATAATAAACCGATTATTCACCTATCTTGTTTAGTCTGTACTGTGAAATATCAGACCAAGATTTTTGCATACTCAGACCTCACGCTCGGTCAATAATCTGTTAATGTGGTATATTCGACTTTGGTAAGGTCGAACATTCCGGAATATAGACTTATTCTTATATTCAATTTTGCCCGACGGATTTACATTGTAAGCTATTGCACTTAGAAGTGAATATATGAATATTCAGGACTGAATGTGTGTATATTCAACACCCCCCCTCCCCCAATTATCGTTCCAGTTACGCCACTGTTAATGGACCCTTAGAGGTACAGGAGTATGGTTCAAAATATCGCATCAGTCAGCCAAAATTATGGATCCGTCCCTTGCTGAATTCTGGACGAGGGAATAGCTTGAGCCATCCAGAAGCTCACTGCACTAATTTATTTAAATCGCCCACTTTTTTAAAGCAATTATAATAAAGAGCCATATATTCTATGCTGCTTGTTCAAATTAAGGAACAAAGGACCTGTAATCGACAAAACAAGCAATAATGAAAGATTAAACAACTGTCTTTTTCTTGGCGTAGTTAATGTTAAGACCTCAGTCAAAACCATCCGAATTTTGAAGATTTCTTTACCACGCGCACGAATCGAGGTGTACCGTTGGAGTTCATTTGTTTCCTGATGCATGGCAACTGATATGACCGCTGTTTTACAATTTGTATCATTGCCATGCCAACAATGTACCCACAGGTTACGACTTCAGCACTTCATTGGACAAATAAGCACTAAGAAACAGGTGGCAAGAGATGAAATCGACTTCCATTCAGGGGGGAAGTGCAGCAGGAAACGAATTCCTAAATTTACTTCATCCTAATAAAGATGAACAATGAATGCCCCATTTTTTCCCCGTGGTTTTGAATGTGATTCGAGAGTTAGTTTTGCATCGGATTACGCGTATTTTGTGTCAACAATTGGATTTCAATTTACTGAAGATTATTTGTATCAACGCGTAGATAAATTTAGCGCAACCCCCCGTAAACAATCTAGCCCACGTTTCTTCAAGGGGCTCCAAATTTATTCATCATTTTCGCAATTATTTCATTGCGCAGTTTCATAGCTGTAAAGCAGCGAAGAACAAGGTTCAGCTGCAGTTAATTCAAATCAAGGACGACGTGTACTTGTTACGCCAGATAGAAGCGAGATGAGCGACTCGGAAAATGAACAGATCCCCGCTTCGGACGATGAAGGAATGGTAAACCAGGAATTGGAGAACTTAGAAAATGGAATTTCATCGCCCACTCCACAGGTGAGCGAACAAGCGTCTACATGAACTCTCAAGCGTTTTTTGACAGCTGAAGTAAACGCGTCGTTTTGCAATCAGGCGAAGCGAGACCGCCGCTAGCTGCAAACATCTTAGTTAAACATCCCAGGTGTCGATCGGAACGATTTTTATCCATATACCATTCATTTAACTCCGTTAAAAATCCACTCTGTCGATTTTTTTAGAGGAAACAAATAACTCATCTCTGCATGTTGGAAATAAAACATCAATTACTCAACCGATGACGTTGAATTAAATATAAATATTCGTACGTAGTACTTTTTAAACGTCATTGAAATTCAAATTCCAAGTTATAGGATGCTTTTTAATGTGGCGATTTTCACAATGTACATGTACACAAATAAAAATGCTTCAATGCAAACCGTTGAAAACAGGTGAGAAAAAAGCATATATAGCTATGTCATGTTATTTAAATTCCTTTGCTCAAATCAGTATGCCGACATCGCTTTGTAACTGAACGTGAAAAACCTGTCAAAGACGATTAACAAGATTGGTTTTGTTATCTGAAAATCAGTAAATTAAACCCAGGTTTGGTCGTAGATGACTTCGTTGATAATTGCCAGAAATGACCAGAGGCCTATTTTGTTGACACGCGGACTGACAGATGAAATGAATACTTATCAAACATCATTCGAAACGTTTGGCATTGCAAGCATTTACAGCTGCCCGATATGAGGAGAATTTGAATCATTTTGTTCGCATGTCAATTTTAAGCAGATATGATATCTTTCTAGTTTCTGAGAAGGTGTTCTAGTAGTTTGCACCCATGCCCCTTCGCGATTGAGGCAGGCATGGCTGGGAAACGTTGCTTTCTGCATAGTAGGATATGGCCATGTAGGAAGCAATCGTTGTCACTTTTTAGTGTGTTCGACTGACCTCCAGAAACAAACCCGGCAAATATATTTTTTTCATTTACACTGTTCTTCTTCATTAAACAAGGTCTCATAGCTGCCCATGAAAATATAATATATGCCTTTTAATTAAAAAACAAATATATCCCCTTCCTAGTGAGTCACTTAGTAACTAATCATGGCATACATACAAACAGAAGAAAGCTATGCCGCACTTTTCCGCGGGTAAGATATAAGGGGCGTCGGATCGTCGGGATAAAAGGGGCGTCAAGATATAAGGGCCGTCGGATTGTATAAAAGACTGGTTAACTATTAACTGTAGTTAAGGACAGAATTGGCCAATCAGAGTCGTGTATTTCTGAGTTAACTAGGATTTAACTATGCAAAATACAGTGGTCCCTCGCTAACTCGAACTCCCAAGGGGAAAGAAAAATTGTTCGAGTTACCGGGGGTTCGAGTTAACCGGAGTTGGTGTCAGATTACGTTTATTATATAAGTAATACAATAGGAAATAAAATCCAATCGAATCATTCTTTAAGGGATACCAGGCCTCTCAATATGAATGGTCAGCGAGAGTGGACGACGTTTTAAAATTAAAAAGATCGAAAGAATACAAAAGGAACTAAAAAAGTTAGATCAATAACGACCGTAGCACCACACAAAATCTTTTAAAATTTATAAGCATTTATATACAATTATACACTGATTAACTTGTTGTTATTTTGATAGTTTCCAGTTGTCAAAATTCTATCTTCTCACATTTTAAAGTTTGCTGATCTATGATTCGAAACCAAAGTTCGAGTTAACCGGATATATTTGACCAAGGGGAAACAAAATTTGTTCGAATTAGCGAGGAGTTCGAGTTAAGCGAGTTCGAGTTAAGCGGAGTAAATTACTATAAAAAACACTATCAAATTCAAGGGGAATTGGATTTAGTTCGAGTTAGCGAGGAGTTCGAGTTAAGCGAGTTCGAGTTAGCGGGGGACTACTGTATACAGTTAGGGGCCTGTCCCCTGGAGAGATATTGCCATAAAGCACGTATAATACGGTTATAATTAATTCACATGATTTTATGTGCATGGTCGTCACATTAGAACATATAAGTCTAGCGCAACCAAGCTTTCAAGGTTCTTTGCAAAAATTGAGAGACCAGCAGGTGAAATTTACACTTTTTTACAACGTCTTTCAACCAAAGAGTTTACCTATTATCGGCCAGAATTGAAAATTCCTATCGTGATCGCTGAAATTTAATTGTCGAAACTTCAGACAATCCCACAATTGTAATTAAATTGGAAATGAGTCAACTTCAAACTTGACGGGCAGGTTTTAGACCGGCCAAGGTTCAGGGTATCATTTCGGCCGGTTTCTTTAAACGTGTTATTCTGTAATTGACTGGGTAAAGAAGGCTCGTTTACACTTGCGAATTTGCTTACGTTCGATTTTCTTCTTTTGATTGATGTGAACGAGTAATAAGTTACGAATGCTATGATGAATAAGAACTCTTAAGGCGCTGTTACACTATGCAATTTTCCTTGCAACTTGCAATGCAATTATAATTTCGAGGGATGTTAATTAGTAAAGAGTGTTCGAAATGCTAAGAAAACGTTAGTAGATCGTGAGAAATGTTCGTATTTGTCAACTTTAGATGCCTCAGGGGTAGAATTACATTGCAAGTTGCAAGGAAAGTTGCATAGTGTAACACCGCCTTTATTTGAACATCAGTAACCAATTCACTCGTTCACATCTATCAAATGAAGAAAATCGCACATACTGAAATCGCAGCCGCAGGAAAAATCGCAAGTGTATAAATGAGCCTTAACTCATACTGCATGCTAGCTTCAGTATTGACCAATCAGAAGCAGCGCCAATCGTCAGCGCTCTAGCTCACGCCACAATGTTTTTATATTATGGCAACCGGTTCTTTCTACATGCAGGTGCTTCAATAAGCGATCCGTCTTTTCACATATTGCATTAATGAGGAATATAACAGAGGCAATGCAGCTGCATAAACAGTGTTTATTTGACAATTTGCAGGCAGAATTTT